TCCTCCCACTATCCAGAGGACTCTTCAAATGCTACAATGTCCAGGGTGTACAACTGTCTATTACCCTAGACCAAAGAATTGCCGAAATGAGTCTTTTCCAGCAAAAGTTCTTTACTGATGAATGAAAGAACCTAAGATATGAGGCTTCCCTGCCTTTAGTCATATTTCTGTTACCACTGAAGCATTGTTTTATTTTTTTTATTTTTTGAGACAGAGTCTCACTTTGTTGCCCAGGCTAGAGTGAGTGCCGTGGCGTCAGCCTAGCTCACAGCAACCTCAAACTCCTGGCTCAAGCAATCCTCCTGCCTCAGCCTCCCAAGTAGCTGGGACTACAGGCATGCGCCACCATGCCCAGCTAATTTTTTTTTGTATATATATTAGTTGGCCAATTAATTTCTTTCTATTTATGGTAGAGACGGGGTCTCGCTCTTGCTCAGGCTGATTTCGAACTCCTGACCTCGAGCAATCCTCCTGCCTTGGCCTCCCAGAGAGCTAGGATTACAGGCGTGAGCCACCGCGCCCGGCCTGAAGCATTGTTTTAGAAATGAGGTATAAGGGACCTTTGAACGCCCTGGAACCATATAGTTCATTGAGGTGTGCATGATGGCGAATTTTCTCTTCTCATCTCCTCCACAAACATCATCAAAATGATGTCCTATTTTTGAGAGAGAGCATGGTGAGAACAGAGCTCTGGTAAACAATATAAATACTTAAAATGCTACCTATACACACACTCTCTTTCTCTCTTATTTATTTATTTTGGAGGATATGGTCTTGCTCTGTTGCCTGGGCTACAGTGCCCTGGCATCAGCAACCTCAAACTCCTGGGCTCAAACTTTTGCCTCAGCCTTCCAAGTAGCTGGGACTACAGTTGTGCGATATCACGTCTGGTTTGTATACACACATTTTTAAATGTAAGCATTATTCAGTAAGAGGTAAAGTGAAAAATATTTCAAATGGATGCCAACCAATCAGAGCCAATCCTAGTGGCCTTATCTGCTTATGGTAACCCTGTCTTCACCTCTGCTCAATAGTCAGAGCTCAAGGGCTGGTTAACTACCGAGAATTATACTTTTTTTTTAAGAGATCGATTCTCACTCTGTTGCCAGACTGAAGTGCAGTGTCGCAATTATAGCTCATTGAATCCTCCAGTGCCTGGGCTCAGGTGATCTTCCTGCCTCAGCCTCTGGAGTATGCTTGGCTAATTTTTGTTTTCTTTTACTTTTGAGACAGGGTATCACTCTGTCACCTGGGCTAGAGTGCAGTGGCATCATTATAGCTCACTGCAACCTCAAACTCCTGGGCTCAGGTGATCCTCCTGCCTCAGCCTTTCCAGTAGCTGGGACTACACACGTGTGTCATCACGCCTGGCTAATTTTTCTCTTTTTTGTAGAGATGGAGCCTCGGTATGTTGCCCAGGCTGGTCTCAAACTCCTTGCCTCAAGCAATCATATGGCCTCTGCTTCTGAAATTGCTGGAACTACAGTCATGAACCACCATGACCCGAAAGAAAATACCAGCTTTTAAACAGCCACAGCTATATGCTAATGATTCTTATTGTTTTATTGTCCTTCATTTTTTTAATATGCAGCAAAATGCAGTTATTAAGTGTGCATTAAATTTATTTGACCATAAGACATTAAATATCACAGAATGTTCCCTCAGGATATTTTCCTCTGAAAACTTCCCACCCATTTTATTCAGGAAGGCTAGAAAAACAAAAAAAACGTACCCTCCAGAAGCAGCCACTGTTCTGGTTTTTCTCATTGGTTTATTCATTTACCTGTTTACATTTGGGTTGTTTTTAGGCTATTGAATAAAGCTGTTATTAATAACAGCAACAATAAAAATGTACAGAGAAGGAAATACAAAATTAGAAATTAAGAAGAAAATTTAGTTCTAATTAATCAAATCCTGTTTGTTTTTAATTTTAATACCTCGTTACAAAAAGTACATTATGATCAGTTGGAATGTATTCCAAGAATGCAAGGTCGGTTCCATATTGCAAACTCCATTAACATCATATACCAAATTAATCTAAGGAATGAAATTATATGATTATCTCCAAAGGTGTGATTTTGATTTGATTATCTTTAAAGCTAGTGTCACATTTAATGGGAATTCCTTAGAGACATTTCCACAGAGATCAAGAACTAGGCAAGAATGTGTACTATTTCCACCACTTTCCACATTGTACTAGAGATACAATGAAATTAGAAGAATAAGAAAGGGTAAAGAAATAAAACTAGTTATTTACAAACTACAGCATATCTGGAAAACCTCAAAGAATTAATGATAAAACTATGTCAAATAGTAAAAAGTCGTTTAACATACTAAAATCAATACCCTTGATATATATACACACAGTGAGCAGAGAGAGGACATAATGGTAGAAAAAATCCATTTACTACAACTACATAGTTATTTATCAGATGATGTGCTTCTGTTCTGCTTTTTGCTTTCCCCAAACCAGTAATTTTGCCCTCCCCAAGAGTCATTGGCAATGTTTTGATTTATTTTTGATGATCACCATGATATGTGTGTGGGTCCTACTTGATAGAGGCCAGGGATGCTACAGTGCGTAGGACAGCCCCTGAAAATAAATAATTATTCAGTCCAAAATGTCAGTAGTGCTGAGACTGTTAAACCCCGGCTTAAACATGTCTGATTTCCAGTGCCTATGTTGAGAATTGTGGGATCCTGGGGTTCTATACCTTTAATTAATACATTAATTATTCCAATTTCAGGGTGAAATAATAAAGAATAATAAAAGAAGGATCAGTTTCCTTTAGTAATGGTCAATAATAGAAATAACAACTTATATACCATTGAGTAGTATAAAGAGTTTCATAGACTTTGTCTTTGGTTGTCTTAATATCTTTATGAGATAGGTGCAGGAAGTATTATCCATATTTTTCTGACAAAGGGACTTATCTATTTCTTCTGGGTTTCAGTGACGAAATCACTTTGGATGGATGAGTAGTTTCGCAGTGAGCTAATTGTTCATCTGTAAAAGTGATCATACCTGCCTTTTCTTTCCTAAAAGGTTATTTTAGTTCCAGTTAAATTCTAGAGGAGTAGTTCTGGGCCTGGAAAGTTGTTGCTTATTGTGTAGTTTCCTTGAATTGAATCTTGTTATCTACAAATAGTAGGTATTCTATAGTACTTCTGATAGAACTTTCTGTGATGATGGGAATGTTGTGTAAATCTCTGTCGTTTAATATGGTAGCTGCCAGCCACACACTGCTATTTAAATATACATTCATTAAGATTAAGTAAAATTTAAAATTCAGTTTTTCTCAGTTGTATCAGCCATGTTTTAAGTGCTCAGTAACCTTGGATTATTTTCTAATCTGTAGTTCCCAAGGGCACTTTAATAATTCAGCAGTATTGCTATTTAATTTTAAAAAATGGAGATGGTCTGGACCTATTTTAGCTTCTGTCCATTACTGAGGCTTTGGTCACCTAGTTACTTAATTAAGCCTTTGAGCGAAAGGACCTTGCTTTTTAATTTCTTGGTAGGGAGTGAGTGAATGTACCCCTGCTGATGCCCCAGTCAGTTTCTCTCCCTAACGCTGAGGCCATTAGCTGATGTGTATGTTTTTAACGTGCACAATCAAGGAGTCCTTATTGCAGTAGGTAGCTTGCTCAAGCAGTGGGGGACCATGTCCTGGAAGCATGCTAGAGGTGCTTTTGGTAGGAAATGGGAAGTTGTGGTCTTTCAATTCCATCTAACCTCACTGCAGCCCTTGACTTCCCCTTGATATTAAAGTTACCTTCTGTGACCACTGAGAGAGTTATAGTTCTTAGATCTCTCCCCTACTGCTTTGGGAATCCCAGGATTTACCTATGTGTGTGTATATTTGGAAGCTGGGCCCTACTGCCTGGTATAATGTTTCTGGCAATTACAGTGCATATTTGGTGCATGGAAACATTGCTTAAACAGTTCTAATAGTATGTATTATAGAGTTTTCAGCTACAAGTGGTTTAATTTTTGTTGATAGATGAACCTGGAAACCTTACTCCTCTTTGTTGTAACATTTCTATGGGAAAGTGATTTCTATCTTATAGCCATTTAACATTACCTGAAAATTGAGGTACTCCTTATATATTGGAGTCTATCTTTATTTTAAAACAGTTAAAATTGCTCTAGGTTTTAATTTCCAAGTAAGATAATGTCTTGCATGTTATAGGAGAAGAAAAATACTTACTGGCTAGAAGCTGTATTCCAAAGAAATGTCAAATCTTATTCATTTTAGCTTTAACAGTTATACTTTCTGCCCATCATAATGTTGCAGGAAGAAAAGGCCCATTTTGTTTGATTATTTAGAAAGACTTTAGACTGATTTTTTTTGTAAAGTATCTTCAGTATGGTTTTAATTTTTCTCCCTTCATTTCTAATTTATTTAATATTCTTTTATCACAGTCCTGCCTCCAGTTTATCTTTATTTTAATTAATTTTTCTTTATAAGTAAAATGATGAAATAAAAGGAGTTAAGTTACAAAGTTGTGTATTGAAGCAGTCATGAAACAGAATGAACAGGTAATCAGGTATGGAATTTGAGCTGTATTCTGCATGTACCATGGTTTTTTTTTTGTTTTTTTTTGAGATAGAGTCTCGCTTTGTTGCCCAGGCTAGAGTGAGTGCCGTGGCGTCAGCCTAGCTCACAGCAACCTCTAACTCCTGGGCTCAAGCGATCCTGCTGCCTCAGCCTCCCAAGTAGCTGGGACTACAGGCATGCACCACCATGCCCAGCTAATTTTTTCTTTATATATTAGGTGGCCAATTAATTTCTTTTTATTTATGGTAGAGACAGGGTCTCGCTCTTGCTCAGGCTGGTTTTGAACTCCTGACCTTCAGCAATCTGCCCGCTTCGGACTCCCAGAGTGTACCATGGGTTTAGTTATATGATTCCTCCACCTCTACCCCTCCAATAGTATTTTGGTTTGCAAGGCAATTGAGGGGTATTACTAATGTGTTTTTTTTTTCTTTTTCCCAGAGGGAAGTGTAATATCTCCCATTTTTCTGACATATTTGCTGCTAGAGAATTTAAAGCCAGAGTGGATTCATTTTTCTACATATTAGGCTACAACCCTGAAACAAGGTAAGTGAGTTACTTGTGTCCATTCAGTGAGAACTTTTCTCCTTTTTTCACTTGTCTGTATGTGTGTGCATGAACAATATACTAGTAAGATACCAAAAATGACTCCAAAATCCTATGGTAAACCACTTTCGGAGGTGTTGTAATTAATGTCTTTGGCATCTAAAGTGGCTTCTTGTTTGCTTTTTACTTTATTAAGGAAAAGGAAAGTGAGAAAATTTGGGTTGAGAGAGGGTAAAATAAAGACATAATTCTTACTGATGTGTGTTTTGAACTTAATAAGAATCGGTAGATTATTTCGCTGATGCACATTCTGTCATACCTTCCATGATACTGTGTTGAAAAAGACTAGGTTATTTTGGAAAGTTTCTTGGTTACGGATTTATTTTGTTCTCTATTGGTAATAAAACTCCAGCAGCACTCACTGAAATGTCTTTAGTAAGACTGCTAATGTGAGTCAGACACTAGTAGTTCTCAATACACCCAGATCCTTTTAATAGTTAGAATTATTATTATTTTTCTTAATGTAAAGCCATAGGGTCAAAATAATTTAACGCAAAGAATTCTTTTTTTTTTTTTTTTTGAGATAGAGTGTCACTCTGTTTCCCGGGTTAGAGTGCTGTGGCATCAGCCTAGCTCACAGCAACCTCAAACTCCTGGACTCAGGTGGTCCTCCTGCCTCAGCCTCCCAAGTAGCTGGGACTATAGGCATGTGCCACCATGCCTGTTAACTTTTTCTATTTTTTAGTAGAGACAGGTCTCGCTCTTGCTTAGGCTGGTCTTGAACTCCTGACCTCAAACTATGCGCCTGCTTTGGCTTCCCAGAGTGCTAGGATTACAGGCGTGAGCCATCGCGCCTGGCCAAAGAATTCTTTATATTTGTAATAGACCCAAGTTTAATGTAGCACATGGAAGAATTTCTATTAGAGTGTATAATTCACTCTATTAGACTGTTGATCACAGAGCTGCATGTTTTATTAAGGATTTTAAAAACAGGAATGTTAGTGGGTAAACAGGTAATTTATGCTCAGAACACCCGAGACATATCTAAAAATGTGAAGGTTTAGAAAGAAATATAAGATGGTTGTTTCGAGTAAGTTAGTAAAAGAACAACATTAAGTGTAATTGAAAAATGGGTATTGTGTGAGTGAAAACTTTTTTTTCTGGAGGCTGCTGAGAAACTGAGAAACCATATGTTAAACTTAGAATGATGATGAAGCAGCCAACCCAGGGTTGGAGAAGGGGAAGATGGTTTTTGTTGTGGTTGTATTAGGCTACATAAATCTTTATTGGGGCCTATATATTAGTATGTATGTCTGTCTTTTTTCTTGATACTAGTTTTTAGATACTAGGCAACATTTGTAGATATGGGAGTGTTCATTCAGAGTACCATTTTTTCTTGAGAAAACAGAGAATGAAGTTTGAGCTTTTCTTTTCTTTTTTCTTTTTTAAGACAGGGTCTCACTCGGTCACCCAGGCTGGAGTGCAGTCATAGCTCACTGCAGCCTAAACTCTTGGGCTCAGGCAAACCTCCTGCCTCAGCCTCCCAAGTAGCTAGGAATACAGGCACATGTCACTGCCCAACTCTTTTTCTTTATTTTTTGTATATATGGGATGTCACTATGTTGCCCAGGATGGTCTTGAACTCCTTGCCTCAAGAGATCCCCCTGCCTTGGCCTTGGCCTCCTGGTGTGTGGGTTTCATAGGCATGAGCCAGCGCTCCTGGCCTCAATGTTTCTTTTTCAAAAGTATGCCCTGTTTCAATGATGAAGAAGCTGACCAGTGGTAACATTTCAAAAGCATCTTATATTTTGAAACGTTTATTTTACATCTGCATTCATTGAATGCCTTGTGCTATCTTCCTGTTGCCTGGGTGAATTGTGGAATGCTTGAAATTGGATTTCTGTGTAAATACAAAGGAGTTGGATGTTATTTCAGTGATGTTATGTTTATTTAACCACTTGGTAAATAGTTGTCATATTGTACAATGATTGTATTAGTGAATTAGTGATTGTATTAGTGAATTAACTAAAATAGCTTTTATCAGAGTCATAACAACCAACCAAATTTAATTTTTACTAGTTTGAGTTTTACATCTATTTTTGCTGACTGCTTGTTAAAAGTGATATGCAACTTAACCTCTGTAGGCTAGAGACTCACACAAGTTCCTGTCTGATTTTTCATTGTGTGTTGCTGGCGGTCTTTCAGGGTGATACTTCACCCATCACCTTGTTTTAAAATATGGGTTACATATGTAGTAGAGGGATATTATTTTTCCCTGCCTATATCTACCTCTGCTTGGTATATTTTAAGTGCTTGAGAGGTGTTAGATGAATTGAATCAAACAAATATTTGAAAGTCTATGAGAGGCAGATCTCAAACTTCTCACAGTTACAGTGTAGAGGCCCTTGTAACAGTTAGCACCAATGGAGCTAGTCTGGCCTACTGTCTTGGCTCACTGGTCTCACTGTGAGCACCACTTTGTATCTCTTAAGCTCGGGGTTAGATATGTAATTTGGTCATTATATTTCTGAATGTTATATCTTGTCAGAGACCTGGTTTTTCTGAACTTTTTGGTCTTGATAGTATTAGTACTTATTGAAATAATACATGATATTGTGAAATATGAAATAGACTATTTTGTACTCTGTGGTTTGTTGTTTTTAAATTTGGGGAAGAATGGATTTCCTGGTAATTGGCATGGAATTACTTGGGTATTATTAGGTATAAATTTTTGTTTAATTTTTTTTAACCTAGGATACTGATCATTGATGCTAATAAAGCATCTGTAGTAATATAGAACCATAATCTCTTACCTTAAATTCTGAAATCTGAAAACTCTGAAGATTTTTATGTTTAGTTTGGTACCAAAACTCATTTGGTGGGCAGACCTGATCCAACCTGATATGAGGCAACTTATATTCTTAATTTAGTTCACTTTGTGTGAATTTACATAAATTTTACTGTAAAAATACTGATGTGATAGAATATGGGTTATTCTTCAGACACTGCTGAGATGTTATATACTATGATATATCTACTTTAGTACTAAAATCCAAGGAATTCTGAATTCTGGAAAACCTCTGACCCTAAAGATCTTAGATAACAGATTGTGACTGCATCATTGCTAGCCATGACATTTAAGGAATAAAACTTAATTGGGCAAAAATTTTGAGGGCAGATGTTTCTGTCCAAACACAATACAAACAACAAGGGACTAACAAATGAGAGAGCCTTGAATCTAATGCTAGCTAACTTTGAACCCTCAGGTAATTGGGCTTTGTTTTCAAAGTTTATTTTTGCCATTTATGCACTCAAAGTGTTCACTTTGCTTTTATGAAAGAGATTCATTCCAAATTTACTTCTGTATCAGCATACTCTGCAAAATAATGTCATTGTGTTCTCATTTTGTTTGAAGGGTCTAATCTAAAAATCTGCTTAGAAACTTAATAAAGTCAGTAAATTTCAACTCTGAGTTCTTAATAAAGGTAGACCTTATATACATTTGACCAAAGCACTGGTATCCTTGGTTGACCTAAAATAGATTGATCTTAGCCTGTGAAGAGAGATGAGCGTAGGGACATGGTTTTATGCGTCTCTTTACTGTCCTTAGTAGCTTTTTCCTTTGTCTAGTTCCGTGTAGCCATTTAATCTGACTGCTTGATCTTGTGTTAAGACCAACTATTTGGGAAGATCTGTCCCCTCTTGGATCTGGGCAGCTTTGGTTCTCATCTGCTGCCACTTCATCTTCGTATCCATGGGTAAGGCATGTACTTCTTGCACTCAATTTCCACATCAAGATGGAGATGGTAAAAGCTGCCCTGCAGGTCACTTTTGTAAACTGTCATTTTTTTGTTGGTGGTGGTTTTTGGGAATTGAGCAAAAATCAGGGGGAAAAAAATCAAAGGTTTTTTTTTTTTTTAAATCCTGTAAAATGTTAAATCCAAAAGCAAAACATAAACTACTTCTCAAGATGTCATTGTTCTACCACATAGACTATTAGCCATCTGGTTGATTTGCTGACATAAAAGTCTGAATACTCTGGATTCTTGATTCTGCTTGGAATATTGATTACAGAATTCTCTGCAAATACACATTTGTTAAGAATGCAAGATAAAATTCTTAATTGACCATAATGAAACTTATCCAACAATATTCAGTGAGTAAATAAGTGGTATCAATGTAAAATAATATATTTCTGTAGTCAGAATATTCTAATGAAAAATCTCAAGAGAACCAAAATTGAAACAATTTTTATTGAGAAATGGATTTAGGCTTTTTATAGCAAATGAACCTATTTCCTATAGCAGTTAAATTTTTTTTTTTTTTTTTTGAAACAGAGTCTCACTTTGTTGCCCAGGCTAGAGTGAGTGCCGTCAGCCTGGCTCACAGCAACCTCAATCTCCGGGGCTTAGCAATCCTCCTGCCTCAGCCTCCCGAGTAGCTGGGACTACAGGCATGCGCCACCATGCCCGGCTAATTTTTTGTATATATATTTTTAGTTGGTCAATTAATTTATTTCTATTTTTGGTAGAGACGGGGTCTCGCTCAGGCTGGTTTCGAACTCCTGACCTTGAGCAATCCGCCCGCCTCGGCCTCCCAAAGTGCTAGGATTACAGGCGTGAGCCACCACGCCCGGCCAGCAGTTAAATTTTGATTTAGACCTGTGAATGAGGAGAGAAAGGAAGTAATGGTGTGTGGAGTCCCAGGAAGAACAGCAGATATGATGGTGGCTATTTGAGAGGAGATAGCTTTATCTTCGTAATGATTGAGCATGAGTTTTCCCAGGGAGCTGTTCTTTTGTTTACCCTTGCCTAATGAAGGGTTCTTCAAGCTTCTAGAGTACATTTAGGGACAGTGAAGACATTTCAAATGTAGCATTGTTGTATGGATGCTACCTTCCCCCTCCCTCCCACCTTCCCCCCTTCACTTTCTCTCTCTAATAATATCTTATAAAAGAATGATTTCCTCCTCTGAGCAATTTCCTTAGAGGCTTGGACTGT